GCCCACCCCATTTGAGCTCCAATCATCTATACCTGCTGGCAGGTATTGATTGTCTCCCGAGGTCTGTGGGACGCCCAACCTCGCCCTACTTCTTCCCAAGGGATTGAGAGAAAGACGCTGGCCACGCCAAGTCTGGAACACAGGGGTGAGAATTGTACCTGCAATGTGTTTCTTTATGTGTACACTTTAATTGTTACTCTGTTATAAGTTTAGTTATTTCATTATAGTTTTCTTAAGGCAAACTGCTTCATTTGTATTGTAAACTGCCTTTGGTAAGGTGATTTAGCTATAAACTTTGGGAATAAGTGGCGTGCCCTCATTCACTTATAAATATATATATATTGAACCAAGTTTCTTTTATTTTATTTTCTCTTTCTTTCTCCTATAATAAGCCAGTGAGTGTCAAGCTTCTGACTTGAACCTGTGCTGCTGTACCCGAACCGAACACAAACAAAAGAACTTCAGCCGGTCAAAGGAACAGGTATAGGGAGAGCTTGAGTGTTTTGGATTGTGTCACTCCCAGGTGGCAGATCCATTGGGGCACCTCTCAGCCTCCCCAGGCTGCCCGCTGCGAAGGGATTTCTGTATCCTAGCAGCTACAATCTGAGGTGTTATAAGCTCTCCCTATAAACTTATTGGGGTGCCCGTCAACCTCCTCCAGGTTGCCCACTGCAAGGGACCCCGGTCTCAGCAGTTAAAGTCTCGGGTGTATAACACACACCACTCACTGCCCTGACCGTCGGCTGACATGTAGTCAGCCGCTGGTCAGTTTCAGCACCGGCTCAATCGGGGACACCTGGGGTACAATATGTACCAGTTCTGACTTACATACAAATTCAACTTAAGAACAAACCTACAGTCCCTATCTTGTACATAACCCGGGGACTGCTTGTATTTTTAAAATCTTTGTATGAGTCAATATATGCAGCCTACTTCTACAGTAAGATGAACAGGTTATTATATTTGATCAGTATACTGCCTAGTAGAGCGTGTCTGGAATTGACCATTTCACCCCCAAAAACTGGGTTTTAGTTTCACCAGTCAGAGAGTAATAGCTGCATTCTACAACTGTCAGTAGTTCAGTAATTAGGGAACACACCTTGGATATGTGAAATGCAGATACAAGTACCTACTCTGCCTAATTCAGGCTGTTGGATATTAAAGGCAGGTCCCTTTAAAATCTCTCGAGTTTTCTCCCCCACAAGAAAATCTAGATGTAGAATGGGAAATTTTTTGAAATTTTTCACAAGAGGGGAAACAGCTTCTGGTGCAGTCTTACTGTCCAATGTAGCAAGTGTAATAGTTTACACTGTCATGAGAGTTCTCCATGTTCTGTTTTTGTTTTCTTACTTTGACCATGAAAGTTTAGGCCTATTATAAAGAGAACACTGCTGGTTTTTGGACTTCCTGACCAAATAAGAGAGTAGAATCTAAGAACTCTATGCTCCAGCACCACTACTACAAGAAAAATTCCACAGAAGAGAAGAGGAAAGGAGCATTGGGGAAGTTTCTAGTTATCGACTTACTGTGTCTCGGTCCCCAGTAGCATCTCCATCTTCTCTCCTGCGTGGTTGCTAAGAACAGTTAATCTGAAGAGATGACTTGTAGAGCTCTGCCGAGAGTACAGAATAGTCGAACTGTTCTTCACAGGTGAGGAATTCAGCTCCTCACTATCACATTGTTCAACCAACAGCTGGTCCCTCAAGGAATAATCTGTGACATTGTAACTCTCCTCACTGCAAAACAAAGAAAAAAACCTAACACTTCTGCTCAGAGTAAACAAATCTCCACTAAATGCATCCAAGAGCAAATTCATTGGTAACACCCATTTCAAGGCACCTGATTATTCTGACACTTTCAGCCCTTTGGCAACTTTTTTCCACCAAAATATTTACAAGAGCATCTGCTTGTCAAAGACACAAAAGAAATTAATCTTTGCACCTTAAGGCATTTCAGTCAGCAGCACAGTTTACATGGCTTTGACACTCCTGGGGTATTTATAAGCTGAATTTATCCCATAGCAAACAGAGAATAATGTCTTCTGGTTTATTTTTTTTTAACTCCCCAGTAATTGACACCCAAAAGCAATGCTGTTTTAGAATACACTCTACTAAAATGTTGCACACTTTGTTGCTTGTGTAGGCTGAGCATACTAGATATACCAGTGGCTCTTTGCATCTCTCCATTTCCCCCCATACCCAAGCTCCTCACCCTACCATGTACTTCTATTTCAGGGACTTCATACAACTCTCACCCCCATAGCAGGGGCCATGTTCCACCCTGACTATTCCCCAAAGAATCTCTAACTCATCCCCCACCCTGAGCTTGAGTGCCACAAATTAGCTACAGTATTTGCAGTTCTCTGGAAGCTCTCAGAGGACAGGGTAAGAGTTGCTGAGCATAGGGCTCAGCTTTTCCTGCATGTGCTCCAGTTGGGAGCACCCAGGGAGATACTGGACCAGAGACTGTGGAAGTCTGGACCACACAGATCATACCTGTATTCTGAATCACATTCCAGGATTATTTGGCATATAATAGCACTTTTCTATATGTGTGACTTCCAGCATTATTTTTGTGTAGGGTTACTGAAATGGGGCGGGGGAAGGAGGGAAAATATGCCATGAAGAAATACAATTTTTAAAAAATTGTTACCCAAGCACTAAGACTTTTACAAATTTATACTCCTTCTCCCTAAACAACTCAGTCATTCAACTTCCTAAATCAAACGTCCTCAACTACTCTAGTTAAGAATTATTCTTTGTTGTTATGTAAGACAATGCCTGGTCAGGTCATCCTGTTTCCTGTTACTAGACATTTCTGTGCGCTGACAACAAACATTTACTTCAATCCCTCCCAGACCCCAATCCATTAACATGTATCTATGATAACAGGTGCCAGAAACATAGAGTCTCTAAATATCTTCAGAAACATGCCTAAGCACTTCACACTGTGAATCCACGCTGGTTTCTATTACATTTGTTGTCTTAGCCAACTTATTCATTCATGCGCAATTAAATATAAAGAAATGGTAGAAAACACCTTTCCAGGAGAAGTCAATCTTAATTACATTTCCAGTTCTTAAATTGTTTACCTGTGCTCAACTATCAAAACATTATTTAAGGAACATTTGAAAGAATTTGCACCACTTACTTTAGTAATGGAATTGCTAAGGTAGGAGAAAAGGCAAACTGAAAAGCCTTTCCCTTCAACTGCATAGTGTGGATGTATTTCCCAGAATTGTCTTACATATGATCGTAAATTCACCAGCTGTTCATCGAGATGGGAACTTTTTAAAAGCAACCTAGCTTTACCAGTTTCAATAAACCTAGTCCATCTTGTAAATTCTGACAAGGCTCCCACTTCTGAAACCAGGCAGGGTTATTTTTCAGATTTATTGCCCCTTAAAGGCTTGTTGAAAGAGAGAGAAAAATTCCAAATCTGGTAATCTTCTGTACCACAGCACAGAAAAAAAGCCATCTCAATCAATATGTTTCTCAATTACTTCTGATTGTGTAGTAAGAAATTCTCCTTTTAGTTCAAACCAATGGTTTTTACAGCTATGCTGGTATGGATGACTAATCCATGAATTAACCAGTCACCATTATCTGAACCAATTAAATAATAACCATCTAACAATGAGATATGAAGAGAAGACAATAATTCTAGGTTTCACAGTAACTGTTCTGTTTACTTTCAGAATGTTTGTTTTATTCAGCTCCCCTTAAACTAGTAACTCAGCAGAACCCCTTCCTCTCTCGTCAAAATCCACACTAAACCTGGTCAAATAATTGCTTTCACTTACAGTCTAGAGGTACAAAAGGAATTGCACAGCTCCACTGAGATTCAGTCTGTTCTATAGATCTTTTCTTATCGTCTACAGCAGAGAGATACCATTATCCACTTGGCACCCAATCAAACCAGAACGTATGGTATATACTACTTTACATTACACAACTAAAGTTTCTTTTCCCCTATTTTATTTTCTAAGTGACTTCTGCTCGGCAGATTAAAGGTTGAAGAAAGGAAGTTTAAAATTCACTTCAACTTCTGGAAAGCCACTGGTAATATGTCATTGACTAGCAGCTCTGCTTTCTTTCTGCTTCTTGAATTCAACCTATAAGCATCCAATTTAGACACGGACAAATGTCAAATTGCACAAAATCTCATTGCAAACTCAAATGTTTAAAATACCAATTCCTTGTCCAAACAAAGTCACGGTGAATTAAGTATGTGTTTTGTTATAAGATTATGGCAATTATTTTAATATAATTCAAGAAAATACCTAATTGTCTTCTCGATAAGGTTCCTCTAAGCTAGAGGGCAGCAAACTGTGCTACATCCAGCCATTTTAATATGACTCCCGAGTGCCCTCAAGGGAGCGAGGTCCGAGGTTTGCCCTGTTCCACATGGTTCCTAGAAACAGTGGGTTGTCCCCGCTTCCAGCCAGCTCCTACATGTAGGGGCAGCTAGAGGACTTGGTGTGCTGACCTGCCCCATGCACCATCCTCACAGCTTCCACGGTCTGGGAACCTGTGGGTGAGGGGCTAGTGCACAAAGCCACTTGGCTGTGTCTGCATGGCAGCTGGCTGAACGGTGGGGCATGGCACTGCTTCCAGGAGCTGCACGGGGAGGTAAGTGTGCCTGGAGTCTGTACCTGAGCCCATGCCCTCAACCCTCTGCCCCAGCCCAGATCCCTCGTCCACCTTTTGAACCCTTTTGTCGCAGCCCAGAGCACCCTGCTGCAGCCCAAACTCCTCATTCCCAGCCCCACCCAACAGCCACACACACAGCTAAAGCCCTCACAGCCTGTTCTGCACTCCACCCCTCAAGCCCAGGCCAGAGCCCCCTCCACCTTCAAACCCTTCATCCCCAGCCTCACCTCAGAGCCCATATTCCCCACCCCCTCGCATTCCAATCCCTGCCCAAACCCAGAGCTCCTCCCGCATCTTGAACTTCTCATTCCTGGCCCTACCCCAGAGCCTGCACTCCCAACCTGGGCCCTCACCCCCCCCCCAACCCTAACTACATAAGCATTCATGGCCCTCCATTCAATCTCCATACCCTGATGTGACCCCAGAGGCAAAACGTTTGCACACCTCAGCTCTAAGCAGCATCAGGACACCATGCCCTAAATCACACACCCACCACTGTACAAATCAAAGTAAGCAGTACTATATAGGAGAGGTAGGCAAGCCAACAAAGGCATAAGCCTGGTTCTGGCTTATCTCTGTGTCCATGGAATACTGAAAGCCAAAGAAATGCCAACCCAGTGAGTATGTTCCTGCAAGGACTCCATGTGTTTTCTTATAAACAATTGTTTTGGACAGACTCCATCAGTGAGCATGAGCTTTGACTTCTAGAAACACGTGAGAATTTCACTTGGAGCTACAGCACCTTCATGTGCTCCAACAAGGCAGAGCAATATTCTGAAGTACTTTAATTTGAAAATACGAATCTGGTAAGCATTTATCAACTAGAAACATTTGCTATTGGTACAAGCAATTGTTATTTGGTCTGTCTGTCTACTGTACAGGTAAAAATGTCACTGAAATTAGAATGTAAAATCCCATTTAGTTGGCTACAAATAGCAGCCAGGATATCACGGAACCTTATTTAGGAAGGAACATCAATTTTATAAGCCCTCCTGCTGTACCATTAATACTTTTCACTCCACCTGAAAACACTTATGTTTTCAAATGTTGGCAGGGAGCATGCAGCCTGCAGAGCAGTCAGCATATTATGAATAACATTGCTTCAGTCCCAATAAATTTCATATGAGTAGGGATGTGTCTTGATTCTAAGAAGAAAGATACAGAGAAATCTTTGGCTTCATCCTCAAATTTCTTGACGTTTATAAAGCACTGAATCCCACAGACCAGCTGCTTTGAGAGGTGGAAACCCAATTTTATGTTTTTTCCTTGTTTTTCTTACAGTGAACAGACACAGGTAACAAAAAACAATCCCACAGCTGATAAACATTGGGATTGTTATTTTTCCCTCCAGAGGAAAATGTCAGAGGCCAAACCAAAATGGAAAAACAATCAAAGGAGTTGCAGAGGAACTTGTTCTTGCTAAAACAAAGAACCAGTGACATGCTTCATATAGCACTTTATTTTTTTAAAATGCAGGGGTACTCACCTAACGTGCCCTAGAACAGGCATGGGCAAAAGGGCCTCCACGGGCTGGATCCAGCTTGTGGAGGCCCTACGGCTCCCCCATGTCCAAGCCAATTAGGGCTTGGGGATAGAGGGAAGTACACGAAGGTTCCTCTGCTCTGCCAGAAGCACGTGGCACTTAGAAGCACCACATGCTCCTGGCGGGGTGGGAGGAGGCTTTGCATGCTCCCCCACCCCCAGGTGCTGATTGGCCTGGGGGTGGAGGAGCACAGGAAGTCTCTTCCCACTGCCAGGGGCATGGGTGCTTAGTGGGAAGGGGGGGGGGGCAAAACGGCTCCCACATCCCCACACCAATCATGGTTTGTGGATGAGGAAGCCCGAAGCACCTGGCCCTACCTCTTCCTTTTGAGGTCCCACCCCTTCCGGTTTTGAAGTGGCCCACGGCAAAAAAATATTGCTCACCTCTGCTCTAGAAGTATAGCAAAGAATTCATTATTTTGTAAATTTTGTAAAGTTATGTGCAAAATAAAAAATTAATTGTGCCCTGCTTTTCTTTATAAAGAGGATCAGAAAAAGTTCTTTAAAGAAATCTTTCTGTATTTTTTACACTGTATTAGAAT